ATGTGGTGGCTGGCCCTGCAAAACGCTTTAGAGGAAGAGAAGGGAGGTACAAAAAAAACCCAGCAGACATGCATTTCAAAAGAGACGTCGTTTTTTTGCTCAGGTCAGATTCCATTGTAGAGCGAGGGTGGGACTGCGGGTGTCGCTGGTATTATAACAGGTATAATGAGATGGTGCTCTAGGGAGAGAGGGATACCTGAATTAAATGAATCGGTCGGTTTAGCAACAGGCTGTTTGAAGTCAGTCAAACCTGAATGGGAGTGAAGAGCATGTGGGAATAACTTAAAAAGCAGGTTTTTTAAAATAAGAGTATGCGTGGGAAGTCTACTCACTTACAGGCACCGTTTAAATTAGAAACATGGAAAAAAACAGATGGATGGAGCGCCATTTCTGTATTATTAATTGCAGCCAACTGTATGCCAGCTTTTCATTTAAGTCCACCACATTTAATACCACACACTTTTGTTTCCTCTCATGGGTGCCCACCGAACTGATGAATAATGTAGTCCTAATTTGATGGTGTTTCTCATTATTCTTGTTGGACACCTCTGGACATGTTCTGGCTGTCTGCGGCCTCCCCACTCTGGATCAGTTTACATAGAGGTGTCTGTGTCAATGACAGCCATGCACACTTGGTACACCATGCACTCTGATATGGACATTGTCACCATCATGAGACAGATTTTGACTTCATATTACACGGCCATCTGGGGTCATCCATCATTGTGTTGTCGCCCGATTGGGCCGGGCAGCTGCCATGTGTTGCTTCTGAAAGACGGTGACTTTTTTAATTATATAAAATTTCTTCTTCTCTCCTCTCCCCTGAACTATATGCAGAGGGCAGAGAATGCGTGAACTGCGGTGCCACCTCCACCCCTCTGTGGCGGAGAGATGGTACGGGCCACTACCTGTGTAACGCCTGCGGACTGTACCACAAGATGAACGGCCAGAACAGACCTCTCATCAAACCCAAACGTAGACTGGTGAGTCCTCGCTTACTGCGCTTTACCCTGAGAGAAGGAACCCAAATATGAACACAAAGCAGCACAATTCCAGGAAAGTTATATTTTCCCTATGATCTTCCTGGAATTGTTTGTCCCTCTCACCCCCTGATGATCCGCCTTCATGGCCCGTTACAATACTGCTACTATTGCCATTGTTCCTGCTATCATTATTGCTGGTACTTCTGATACTGTTACTGATACCACTGCCCATGCTGCTTTAGTTAACACCATGCTCGAGTAAATGAAAAGCAGCATGGACACATAGCATTCTTGTGGAGGATGTACCACTGCTCAGCCACCTCTGGCTTTAACCCTACTGACGCCGGACACATTTCTGGGCACCATCATTAATGTAAACCTTACAATTAATCTAATTATCTTTTAAAACCGGCTTTTCTTTTAAAGCAGCTTTAATTATTTTCTTATCTATTTATTTATTGTTTTTTTGAGATCTTTGTTTTTTTGACGATTGGTATTTTAACTTCTAAAACCTTTTATTGTAAAACGTTTTTTTCTTTTCTTTTCGACAAATCCAGCTGAGGTCTAAAAATGCAAAAAAGGGCAACAAATAACCACATTTTGTTAGTGTGAATTTAAATTGTTTAATTGGTTAGTAAAAATAAAGACAAGCAAGCCAATTTTAACTTAATAAGTATCAGTAATTGAAATAAATATAATAATATGATACAAGACAGCCACTAATAATAATAATAATTACAAAACACTTTTAATAAAAAAATAAAGGGGACTAGAGAAAATTAGGTTTAGAGAGGCTGCGTAAAAATGATCTCCATGAACAATATTTTTGGATTTTATATATTTTTTTAGTTGTCCACGTCGCTCCTGCTCCTGAAAAGTCCATTATATTTTCCACTGGCTCGGCCCATGTGTCTGTAGCTTTTGCATTTTCAGCTCAAGTGTTTTTCAGAGTTGTGTTCAAAGGGGCATCCAGTTGTTTCCTATCCGGATATCTGCCCGGCCCAGATAAGGAAGTCAGGCTCCCGGCTGTTTCCGCCTTCAACCAGCGCTGCATTCTCTATGGCCGCACTGACATATACTGTAAAGAGATTATCACAACACTGGAGGAGCCGCTTATGTGTGAAGAGACAGACCGTGAGGGGCGGGGATTGGAAAATAAATGGATTTATGTTCTCCTCTTGTTTGCCATTCTCGGTGGGCAGTCTAAACGCGCTTTTTTATTTAAAATTATATATTTTATTTCGCGTTTTAAAAAAAAGAAGCCAGGGTTGTTTTTGCTTTGCAAGTTAATAGCAGCGAGTCCACCGGAGATACATTTAGAGAGGAAACTGGATGCTGCTTGCAAAGCAAAGAGCCGCGGGGTTCTTGCATGTAAACCTAATGTTTCTTATTAAGTGTGAAGAATTGATCCGCAATGGACCAGGAGCACGTTGCCATGCAGGACACCGGGTCTCACGACTTGTAGCCCAATTTTCCGGGATCAGGATAAATAGAGGGTTTACACAAGGCTCTCATTATGACATGTTAATACCAGCAGATTTATAAGATATGAAAATCAGCGAAAGGCGTGCACAAAAACATGCACCTTCTAAAAACATCTTATTGCACAAACCAAAACATTGGATCACGGTGGAGCAGTTTGCATACATGCAATCGATTTAAAAGAGGAATTATGTTTTTTTTCCCGCTTCTTTTGATGTTTTTCTGCTCATGGTTCTGCGGTCTCACGAAAACCGAAATTCTGCCGATTAATTTCGGACAAACTTTCTGTCTCTTATTGATTTCGCGCTAGCACAAAACACTCACATTCATTGCATGCTATGTCAGAGGCTTTCATAACATAAATGTTAAATGATAAGCCTCCTATTTGTGTCTGTAAACGGTGACTAGGTGTCCGCAGTGACCGATCTACAACGCGCCACTACCAACGACTCGTTATTCATGGTGTATTTTTTTTCTGCTCCCTATAGTCCGCTGCGAGACGTGCAGGCACCTGCTGTGCAAACTGCCAGACCACCATCACCACCCTGTGGAGGCGCAACGGGAACGGAGACCCGGTGTGTAACGCCTGCGGCCTTTACTATAAACTGCACAATGTAAGTAGCCTGAAAAAAAAAACACCGCTGCACTCAAGTGCGGGTTTTTGGGGAGGAAGGCGGAGGGATACTGGTGGTTAACTGGTCAAGTGGGCGGACAGCTCGTATCGATTTAGGAGCAGAGAAAGTGTGAGTGCTCACCCTGTCGAGCAGAACCCACCGGTTGCTTTTTTTTTATTAATCCATCGTTGTTTCAATGGGGGGCGTTACTCCCAGGAGAGGCTGCAGGGTGGGACTGTCATTCAGTGTAACGGCGTCGGTTACACTGATGAGGATTTGTCTGCGGCTGGTCCTTTCAGCTGCCGCCAGGCCCTCATCTCCATGTATTCATATGGACCAGGACTGGTCTGTTTGCTTTGAAATTACACAAAAGCCCCAAAACGCCCCTGACTCGCCTGTTAATGCAGCCATATATGCAAAACAACTGCTCATTAATAATAGGAGTTATTTCCCACTGGTGGGCTACCATGACACAAATGCATGTTACCCCTAATCGACAATGCATGTGACATATTCCTAGGGAAATTTTTTTTCGATTATGAGCTGCAGCTAACTGCAAAAAATATTCAACAGCTATAATGAACTATTCACAGTTTCAGTGAGTCTTTTGTCTGGCGTGCCTTGAACTAATGTGCCGTTCTCCACAGGTCAACAGACCCATGACCATGAAGAAAGAAGGCATCCAGACACGAAACCGCAAGATGTCCAGCAAGTCCAAGAGAGGCAAGCGACCAGGGGACGGCTTCGACGAGCTGTCCAAGTGCATGCAGGACAAGGCCTCTCACTTCGGCGGGGGACCCGGCCTCCCCAGCCACATGACCCACATGGGTCACCTGACCCCCTTCAGCCACTCGGGACACATGCTGCCCACTCCCACGCCCATTCACCCATCTTTCGGTCACCACCCCCACCACTCTAATCGTTCGCCGGTCTGGGCTGAACCCCTGAGTCACTGAGGCCCCTTTTGACCCAAAAACTCCTCTGCCATCATATCGCCATGAACACTAAATGGCCTCCACGTCACGCCGAAAGCTGAGCAGACATGTTGTACAGTGCGGAGGGGAGAGACCTTCAGCTGGACTTTAGGACTGAAGGTCGCGTCATGTCTGACCTCACTGATGGGACGCTGCAGAGCAGGACTTTAGCGGACTCTGTGAAGAGCTTAATATGACGAGGGGTTTCTGAGTCCCTTGGTGACCCAGGCTTGCAGGAATGGAGTGAATGGAGACGCTTGTCATTCTTTTTGCTTATTTTTACTAAGTCACTTTGGTACCCACCTCTTCATGACCCTGTAACAGGAGACTCACAAGAGGTCTTTAAAAGAACCGCTGTTTTCACCTCGCGATCGTCCCATTATATACTGAGCTACGTGCACCCTGTCCCTCCCCGGCTGCCGTCCATGTGGACAGACAAACTCTTCAGTGCTGGAGGTCTGAAGACTGGCTGACAGCACTCTCTGTTACAAACTACAGTACCCACAAACCTGTGCTCTCCTCACATGCTGGATTGTACACCCACCACGAAGCTCACCTCCTGTTTTTAATAATGGACTTTTATGGAAAAATACACAGTAAATAGAGTGTTTATAAATGCTTAATTGCTATTATTGTTGTTATATTTGATGTTATAATTATTGCTACGATAATTTATTTTCCCTCTTTAAGCTTTCGTCAAAGACAAATGGAAACTGTTATGATTTTGATTTCATGGTTATTACGTAAGAAAAACACTGACCTATCTTAGATGAAAAGTCCCTGAGCTGTACGTTTTTATCATTTTTTCCATCTCACAAAAGTAAAGGAAATAAAGGAAAATAAAGTTTAATACTAAATTAAGATCTGCCGACGCCTTGTGCGTTCAGTCTTGTCTCTTTCTAACGCTCTTACATTCACACAAACATACAGCATGAGACTCCTTTTAATGAAAAGTGCTTTATTATCAAAATCATAAGGGATATCAGATGCATCAAGGGAAGCTCTGTGATCCCTTGAGCGTGGTAATGCTTTGGTCAGGCTCCTCCTCCATCTGTGATGGCGTGTTGTTAAGAGAAGGCCTCTTTGTGGAGCTGAGGCCCCGGGCTGGACCATTGTACCCAGACAGCAGACTCCAGCGAAGGGCTCCGAAGTCACACACAGTCATACATATGCACACACCCACATGCTCATACACACACTCATGGGAAAAAAACAAACACAAACCCGATTCACCAAATTAGAACCAATATAACCCATGGCATGAAAGGTCTCTCTTTTATTTTAAATGTAAAAGTCTTAACAGATGAGTTTCAATAATTTGAATGTGACAGAAACTGAGTCATGAGTGCAGTTCAGTGGGAGAGTGTCTGCTGCAGGAGCCCTCTCTCTTGGCTGCAGTGATTGGAGTGAGAGGAAGGACAGCGGGTCTTTAGTGGGAGAAGAGGAGGAAGGAAAGGCAATCAGGCGACCTGAGCAAACACGTGGGGGTCTGCTCAGACCCTTCGCACACAGATGTGCAGGCAGCTGAGGCTGCCAGGAAGCAGGCTTTCGACTTTGTTGCTCCCTCATGTCGTCCTCTTTTTCAATCTCTTTCCTTTGTTTTTCTTTTTTCTAGCCTCTCTCTTTCTGATCTCCTATTCTCTGTTTGTCTTTTATTCTCCATTCTCCCTCCCTCTACATTGTCCTCTCTGTCTTGCCTTCGCTTTGGGCCGATTACTGTAAAATAAAGGGGCTAAAGAAACTTTAAACAGAGCCAGCCACTAATGAGTCTGCTCGATTAGGGCCAATTTGAGGTCATCATCGCCAAGTTCAGCATACCCTCACACACCCACAGCACAAACCGTCCGATTAAGCGGTCCAAGCTAAAAGTGGACCGCTACCCCTCCCTGAACCCTCCACCCTGCTCACATCTGCTGGACTGCTGTGGAGGTTGATCTGCTGGGTTTTCCCAGAGGTTGATCAGTTCAAATTAGAAATAATATTTATACAGGGACTTATGGAGGTGCTTTTCTAGTTATCCAGTGTCGCTGGAGCGCTGTGTTGTCAGCTTATGCTACATCATAGCAGCCACAACACTAACGGAGTGTCTGTTTTCACAGAGGGGGTGGGAGCCACTTGCTGAACAGCAGAGAGAAACTGCCAATAAGCAGTCTAGTCGTCTGTGTGTAGAGCATAGTGCTGCGGGTGCGGGGATGTTTGTGTGAGTGTGAGTGTGTGTGTGTGTGTGTGTGTGTGTGTGTGTGTGTGTGTGTGTGTGTGTGTGTGTGTGTGTGTATACAGGCCGTGGCTCCAGCACGTTGCGTTCTGCTGCAGGCAGCGAGCCCGCTCGGACGGGCTTGGCCGGACTCCCGGAGCTGAGAGGGGGAGACGCAGAGAGCCAGCTCTTCAATGAGGCCCTCCAGAGGGAAGGAGCAGGCCTCCCAACAATAATACAGCCAGGCCAGCGAGTCCCAGAGCCGCACTCGCCTGAACACACATCCAAACACACACATGATCCGCATGTGTACAAACAGAGAGGATGGTGTGTGACAAAGCTTCTCATGTCTGACGCAGAGGCAGTGTTTGTGGAAACCATTTCATCTCTTGGGCCTGAACAGACATTAGGCATGTGTACAATGAATGCTTTGCTAACTCTTTTGGTGGTCACCGTGTGCCACCGCTGTTTGCATTTTCTACCCAATTTAATTTAAACTGATTTATACTGTAAGGGTTTTGAATTGTTTTTTTTACTTAGAGCAACAGCTACATTGAACTACACATCCCTTCCCCACTCACATCATGAATCATGAGACACGAAAAGAGCCATAAAACAGTTTGTTACTTATCTTCACTATCAGAGAGGAGTTCCAGAGAAGAGATGAGGAGGGGAGATCTTGGATGCGCTGGCGGGGTGAACATGGTGGCCACCTAGATCAGAGCAGAGAGAGGTTTACGACTTCAACCTGGAACTGGATGTTTCAACTCATCTCATCTCTACTCCCTACCTCTTTTTCTCTCTCCACTCTTCCGTTTGTCCTCACCTCCCCAACCCCCCCAAACACCACCACCACCAGCGCTCATTCCCTCTGAGCTCCATGTAACTCTCCATTTTTCCCCTCTTCACCCCCCTACTACTTCTCCCACTCTTTTCTTGTCTCCCACTCCTCCAGTGTATTTGTTTTTCCATCAAATTGAATTAGCGGAATCAAAAGGTATCCCGACCATCCCCTCACAAAGTTGAGTTAGGGAGAGAGACATAGAAGATGAAAGGAAGTGGAGCGCAGTTCAGACGCAGGTCTCTTTGTGTGTGTGTTGTGTGTGTGTGTGTGTGTGTGTGTGTGTGTGTGTGTGTGTGTGTGTGTGTGTGTGTGTGTGTGTGTGTGTGTGTGTGTGTGTGTGTGTGTGTGTGTGTGTGTGTGTGTGTGTGTGTGTGTGTGTGTTGCAATGGGGGTTGACCTTTGCCTGGGTCTAACTAAAAAAAGCATCCCTCCTTCCTCAGAACCCCTAGAAGGATATTAAGGCTGGGACAGTATTTAGATAATACAAACAGGGGACATTTATTCCTGCCTTTGTTCGCCATAAAGTTTAGTCATTAAGTATAATGCTTGTTTGTTGACCTTGAGCAGCACTGTATGCTTTCTTATGCCATTAACTCTTAACTTTTGAATTGTTATGGCTACTGAGTCATAGAGAATGTGCTATACTCACGTCAACTTCCTCTTTTCATGGTTCAAGAGAAATTCATAGAAATACCAGTGACAGGAACATGGTGGGTACATTCAGTGAAACACCTGGTGAACACTATTCATGGGCGCCGCCTCAGATACACCATTTGACACTTGAACGAGTCTCACTCCAACTCAAATTAATCAACCATACCACGTAGCGATGATGTGATCGGAAAAGCTTTGACAGTAATAACTGTCAGTCAGAGAGCAGCAGGGCTGACAGCAGATATCACTGCGGATCACTGATGACCTCTGTCGACAGGCAACATCCTGACCTGCTAGATCTCACCATTGATCTCTCCAAATGTCAATTTCTTTTGTCAGAAATAGTCAAAAAAGTGTTTTTACTCATGCATAATGTTTGCCTCGTTTGCTTTTCACGCCTTTTACTTCTCCACTTCAGGCCCGAAATTGAAAGGGTGCTTATAGTTTCAGCTGCATACCAGACTTGACTAAGAACATGGTAGTGCAACAATTGAAGGAACAGGAAGTGAGACGTTCAAACAGGAAATACTTATGTTCTACGATTAGGACCAATTAAGAAGTTCCAACAGAGACAGTAAAAAGAGATGGATTACGAGGGGTGCCAGGATTGTACAGTACTTAAGTATAATTCTCTGCAAGGTTATATCCTGCAGGGTAACATCCTGTTTGGCGAGAGAGCCTCCCGACTAAAACCATTCTAATACTGGATTTGTACAAAGAATAGTACAGACTGTTGATAATGGGGTTAAATCATCCACAGTCGGTGTATTACCTACAGTAGATGATGGTCTGCTTGCCCTCAGTTGGGAGACACCAACAAATAATAATATCAGTAAAAGTGTATGCGATATTTGGAATAGTTTCACAGCTTGGGTAATCTGAACTAATCTTTAAAAGCAACATCTGAAAACACAAACTAAATAACTGATTAAGACAGTGGTAGGCCACAAAGTGCTATGTTGTGTAAAGTAAAATGACAGCTTTTATCAATAGGGCTGGTGTCTGTGAAGAAAGCGTGAATTCCCATTCAGAAAGACTTGTCTGACTGCTGGCTTTAGCGATACAAATATTCTTAATATAGCATTTAAAACTGATATAAATGTTTTACGGTGGCTAAATATGTATATATAAAAACTAATAAATGCTGCATTCAACCCAACTTCTAACAATCTGAATGATCCTTTTAATCACGAGGACTCTTTGAAACTGACAGACTATGCTGTAGACACAAGAGCTAACCATATGACTATTGGTGTCAACGTATTTTAAGGCAAGGCAAGGCAAGGCAAGTTTATTTATATAGCACTTTTCAACACAAGGCAATTCAAAGTGCTTTACAAAAAATGAAAGAGATTAAGAAAATGGCAGTCATTAAAAAGAAAAGCTAATAAAATAAACATTAAAAGAAAAAAATACATGGATAAAAGTTACAGTGCTGTCAATTAAACATTAAAAGAAAAAAGTACATGGATAAAAGTTACAGTGCAGTCTAAGATATGAATAGTTCAATTAAAAGCAGCGACAAAAGAAAAGTCTTCAGCCTGGATTTAAAAGTAGTCAGAGTTGCAGCGGACCTGCAGGTTTCTGGGAGTTTGTTCCAGATATTTGGAGCATAATAACTGAACGCTGCTTTACCATGTTTAGTTCTGACTCTGGGGACAGAAAGCTGACCAGTCCCTGAAGACCTGAGAGATCTGGATGGTTCATAATTTAGCAGGAGGTCAGAAATGTATTTTGGGCCTAAACCATTCAGTGCTTTATAAACCAGCAGCAGTATTTTGAAATCTATTCTTTGACACACAGGAAGCCAGTGTAAAGACTTCAGAACTGGAGTGATGTGATCCACTTTCTTAGTGTTAGTGAGGACTCGAGCAGCAGCGTTCTGAATTAGCTGCAGCTTCCTAATAGATGTTTTAGTGAGACCTGTGAAGACACCATTGCAGTAGTCCAGTCTACTGAAGATAAAAGCATGGACAAGTTTTTCCAAATCCTGCTGTGACATTAGTCTTTTAATCCTAGATATATTCTTTAGGTGATAGTAGGCTGATTTAGTAACTGTTTTAATGTGACTGTTGAAACTCAGGTCAGAGTCCATGACTACACCTAGATTTCTGGCTTTATCTGTTGTTTTGAACATTGCACACTGAAGCTCAGCGCTAACTTTTATACGTTCTGCCTTGGCTCCAAAAACCATTACCTCAGTTTTATCTTTGTTTAATTGGAGAAAGTTCTGACACATCCAGTCATTGATTTGTTCAATTCACTTACTCAGTGTTTGAATTGGAGCATAGTCTCCTGGTGAAATTGTTACGTAAATTTGTGTGTCATCTGCATAGCTATGGTAACTTATTTTGTTGTTCTTCATTATCTGAGCCAGTGGTAGCATGTAGATGTTAAAGAGAAGAGGCCCCAAGATGGAGCCTTGAGGAACCCCACATGTCATATTTGTCAACTCAGATGTGTATTTACCTATAGAAACAAAGTTGTTTCTGTCCTTTAAGTAGGATTCAAACCAATTTAGAACTGTTTCCGAAAGTCCCACCCAGTTCTCCAGTCGGTCTAGTAATATGCTGTGGTCAACAGTGTCAAACGCAGCACTGAGATCTAATAATACTAACACTGAAGTTCTGCCACTGTCTGTGTTTAAGTGGATGTCATTAAAGACCTAAAGCTAACTTGAGATTAAATCTGCATGTATTTTGAAACTGAAGCATGGTTAAAAAGAAAGAAGTTGTTTATTAACAAGTAAGTGTCAGCATTTTTAATTTGTAGAAGTCAAATGAAGTGTATTTTTGCCCCCAGAGACCCCTTTCTGACATTTACACAAGCATGTGAGGGAAAGAAGAAGTGAAAGAGAGAGTGTTTCACATCATTCATCGATGACTTGAGTTAGTCCTTATTGCCACAGTTTGTGGTTTTGAAGAGGAGTCTGGGTATAGTCTTCTAAAAATAAAATATGTTAATGAGTGTGTAGGGTTACAGGTCTTTGTGGCCTCTATGTTGTGCCCCCAGATCAAAACCCCCTCTCTACTGGGGATGGTGCTTGCTACAATCATATTATGAATTAGCATCAATCATCTGACAATTTTTTTGCATCTCACATATTCTCTTCTACAGTAGTCGAGTGTGTAATCTGTTGTCAGAAGCCAGGTGTGGACACGTATAGCTCCCCTCCCTCGACTCACCCTGAAAATGAGGTCAGTCTCCTCTCACCTGGGACAGGGTGCATTCAGGATGTTCACCTGGGACAGGTAGTGTTCTCATTCATGCCGCGTTCTGCTGAGCGGAGGCCCTCCTGCTCACCTGCTCCGACAGACAAATTCATCCCCACTGTCTGAGGACAAATGAGCCCATTCATCTGGAGGCTCCCATTGACAAACGGGGGGGCAAGTACAGTACTAATGCCTGGGAGGGCTCAGGGGAGAGGGCGTCTGGACCTGCCATCCTCTTCCTCGCCCATATCCCTCGCCATTCCCAGCCCCCGCCCCACTCCACTCGCTTTCACTGGCAGGTAACTGGAGAAAGGCATGAGTGGGGGAGTCCAGGGCACCTTGGCCCAGGTCCAGATCGAGAGGATGGGACCCAGGTGCCTCTACCCCTGGATGGATCCTCTGGACCCTCCCACAGGGACGGATGACCAGACAGAGGACGGAGGACGACAGGAGGAGCCCGCAGAGACCGGCCGTGCCCCGCTCAGAATCCCAAGCTGTTCAGAGCGCTATTGTAAACGAACGGTAGATCCTTGTGTGGTGGATTAAGTGACAGCGCTGCTCTGTAGATGCCCTGAATACACTTTCAAGCCTGCTTCATTCTCATGAGCCGAGTTGTCCTCACAACAAAGCAGAGCTACTCTTAGTGTATTCAAGTATTCAGGAGCCTCTAGATTACTTGCTTGCAGGATACACTTCGGCTTATCAGAGGCTTGAGAGAATCATCCCCTCGGGGAAATTATCTTTTCATTCGGCTGTTATATTCTTCATTCTCATACACATGCATCAATGTGGAGAGAAAGAAAGGTAGCTCAGCTCAGCGCCTGAGAAGTTGGGGTTTGGTGCCTTGCTAAAGAGTAGCTCAGCAGTGCCTAGGAAGTGAACTTACTCCTCTCCACATACTGTACTTGGTCCATGCAGGGACTTGAACCGACACTGCAGATGGTTTGTTACGCATCGTCTTAGAAGCTGTTCGAAAAAAGGGCCCACTTATAAAACATACAGT